GTTTTTCCCTTTGTGTTCCGTTTTTAGTTTAAAACCTTGGGGAAAGGGGGGGGGGGGAAGCGAAATATTGCCCTGCATTACAGCTCACCTGCGAAAGAAACGCTCTCCCTTTACCTCCCACCCCGCGAAGTTTCCCCTTCGAACCAAGGGGAAGGGTTGTTAAATAACAGCGGGGTTTGTGTGCGCCCAATTTGTGATTCAACAATAACGTATCGGTGAAAATACGACCTGAACATTTAAGTAATTAATTGTTTTATTTATTCTCCTTTACTTATTTTCGCCCCTGGCGTGGAGTTTCGTGTTAAAACGGACGGAGGGAAGCCCTTCCCCGAAGGTCCCTGCGGCCGCCTCGGACTCACCGAGTCGAATATTGCGGTTCCACCCTTGTAGCAACGTGATTTTTCTTTTTCTGTCGGGATTATGTTGCAAACGTTCGCAAACCTACCCTTTCTCCAAACCACCGGAATTTGTTAGAAACGTAACGTGCTCCCCTCGCGCTTTCCTTTGAGACCCAGTCGCTCGGCCCTATGTATTGTTTACAGGACACGGAAACGTCCCGTACCGTTTCCTCCTCGGGGTTAGCGGTCGCGGAGCTTGTTGTATCGGACCCGTTAGGACCTGCCTTGAAATACTGCTACTTTACCGCATATATATATATACACACACGCACACGCACGCACTAAAAATAAAATTCCCCCGTATAATTTTTTTTACCTCTGCTAATGAGTCCAGTTTCGGCGGCGGGCGGAGGTTGTATTGGATTTTGAGAATTTCCCCGAAAGGCTGAAGTTTCTTTTCGATTGATGTTTTTTCTAGATTTATTTTGGTTTGTTTTGCTCGGCGAAAAGTCCCAGGCGGAGCACGCCTCCGTAAAAAGAAAAATATAGCGGCGGGTTTAATCGCCGACTGCATCTGCCGTCGCCAAGCCTGCGCCAAGTGTCCCCGTGAGAAGGGTAGCCCTGAGAGGGGGGCACGGGACTGCTCCCATTTTGCGGGTAAAAAGGGCGGTGCAGGAGGGTGAAACGGGTCGCATCGCCCGGGCTCCCCCGCGCAACGGTTTCGCTCAGG